TAACAATCAGAATACAAGAATACAAGAAATTTGGCACAAGAATGAAGAATTCAACATAATATGGAAAAAAATACAATGAATATTGTGTTTCTAACTTCTGTAATGTTTTAACTTGTAAATAAGAGCCAACTATATATAGGGACATGCTAAAACCCTAATACAAGTCGTAAAGATGGAATGTGTATTAAAAATCGCTTGGAATAAAGAAAATAATCTTGGGCCGAACAAGCATGGCCTCGAGGTAAGCGAACGATAGGCGAGCCGCTCAAGCGTCGATGAGCCACTCAAGCGTTAGCGGGCAGCAGCTATCTGCTGAAAATGTCGTCCCGTTGCACGAGCGATAAACTAGCGGTCGCTAATAGCAATGTAGCATTTTTTTCTCCCTTGGTCCATATTTTGACATCTTCAAAGTCCAATTCAACAAATCCACAAATACCTAATGGAATTTGGATCAAACTTTAACAATTCATTCAAATTTATGTTTTATATTGAAGAAAAAGTAAAAAGTTGATAAAATTAATAATTTTGCTTTGTTGTATTTTCTCTTCTAATCTAAAAAATATTAAATCAATATATAAAATGCACGTTGGATACTCTTTAATTTATTTTATGGTTTGCTATAAGATCATTTTGAACCACACATTCACACAATAAAATATTTTACTCGTATACAAAAAAAAAAAATCAACTTTTTAACCACACATTCTCCTAAAAATCACTATACAAAACTTTTTTTTCTGCCAAAATGGTTGTTAAACATGACCTAAAGTATTTTTCATTTTACATCCTAATACAATGAAAGAGAGAGGATTGAGTGAAGCAAATATATTTTGTGTGTCAAAATAAGGAATCCATTCTATACCAACTAGCCTGCATCTAAACTTTGTTCATCCTACTTAAAACGCATTTGAACTATCTCGTATAAAATATCGTGAAACTTTATTTTTATGTTTTAGCCTTTTAGGTTCTTCTGATTACTAGTTTGTAGGAAACGAAATATCCAAACATAGTTTATCTGGTATAAATGCACATCCATGTATATAGGGGATCGATCTTCCTACAAAAGTATTGGACAAAGGAATTTAACAAATAATCGCAACCATTAAATTAATCTAAGATAACAATCCGTATCTATTTTATTGAAATCCTTTATAATCCCATACCCAAATCTAAACACACCCCCAATTATCTACTAATCATCCCGATTGCAATCCTCGAAGTTCCCTCATTGACGTTGCCTCCACAACCACTGCCTAGTGTCCAACTACCTGCAACGTCTATTCTCAAGTCTCTTTTTCTTTCAGATTTACATAAAATCCATAATTTTATTGATCAAATTTCTATCAAACATGCCTTTAAACAATTATCAGGTGTTTTAAATGAAATTTTGCCAAAAAAATCCATCAATCCAATGCGCTTCCATGCATAGTTATTAAAACCAGACTGGCAGGCCGATTCGGACAGAAAATTGTTGAATCGGATAGTGATCCGGTTCGAGTGCATTAATTGGTCAAGCAAGCAAGAAACAGTCCGAATATTCGGACCAGTTTAAGAGGGAACCGGAACCGGTTCACATGGAATCGGATGGTAACCAAGTGAAGTGTGATATATCATTTTCAATTTAAAATGTCAATGATTCGAACCTAGGCTTCAAACATAGAATTTCATTGCCTTGACCATTATGGAACCTGGGAACCTTTATAATATAACATGTGCAATATATAGCAAAATTGTTTCCTTTTTGTTTCAAAATATATTTTA